CAGGCGTGATTGGTGGGGGCTGAACCGACGACTTCAGGATCGTGAATTTTCACGAGGTCTCGATACCAAATGTAGTTGCTGGCCGCTGAAAAGGCCTCTCGAGATGCTGGTGGTCCTGCTTCGCGCGTATTTATAGAGCCGTACTGTGTACCAGCTACTACAGTCACATTTACGAAAATTCCAAATCTGTAACAGATGTAAGCTAAATATGTTGCTTTGCTGCAAGATCTTTTGTAACACTCTTGCTTTAGTTCTGTGAGATAAGAAGAACGATATTTAAGTTACTTCGTGTGTTAGGCAGTTAGCTAGGATATGGAAAGGGGGTGTAGGATGTATCCAACTGACAGGATGCATGTTAAGTTAACATTGTGAGATCCGCTCTACAAACTGAGTATGCACACGTACGTATTCGCGTATATAGAATATCATAATAGAAAATTTTGCGTGTTCCTTGCGACTTGCGACTTGCAACTTGCGACTTGCAACTTGCGACTTGCAACTTGCGACTTGCGACTTCAGCAGTACGCAAGACTGCACTTCGCCTCGCATCCCGCAATTTGTTTTGCAAGCAGCCATAATCATAGGTTAATGTATAATAAGCTTTTTAATACTATCCCGTAGCTCCAAGGGACGAAATGGCATGTTTCGAGGTGTGGTCGTCGGTATTGGCTCGCACGCTTGCGGTCCGACCGTAATTTGGACCTTTTGGTAACCGTAATTGCATTACACCGTAAGGACCGTCATTTTACTGTGCTTTTGGGGGGTCACCGTAATTGCGAAAGGTGTAATGCGCAACTCCGTAAGGACCGTAACCGTAATTCCCAGCCCTAATGTTAACGCATCCTGCCAAGACTCCCCCAGGATGCAAGGATGTGTGTGTGTGTGGTTGTTACAGTGGGCTCCAGACTCCCGAAGAGTAGAGCCATCGGGCCAGCTGGCCGTGCACTGCAGTAGAGACTAATATACCAAAAGATTATCATCTCAGATAATTAACCTCTCATCGGTAACCGCTCTCGCGAACAAATCAATTTGCCAGATATAATCCTCAAAAAGGGGTGATGTGCGCCAACGGATTCCCAACCTTTTCGTGGAATTCCTAAAGCTGCGAAACCCTGAATGCGGCCCCAAAAATCAATAATAACTCGACAAATTGCTTCTTCCGTAAGGGAAGGACCAGGTAACAGTGCCGGGTTGGTTTTCATGTTTGCAGCCATATAACGTCTCCCATGCTCCATGGCTGACACCGCAGCAAGAGCCACAACATCCCAAACACATTGTTGCACTGATTGTGGGGCTTGGATAAGCCAAAGTTGCTCCCTTGAGACTGGCAATCCTATTGAAAGAGTAAGTTGATCTGCTATTGCCTGTGCCACCGGACAGGCCCAGAAATGATGATAGCGAGGGGATACACCTCCCACTGAACCTATTGGATAACCTCCACAACCACATATCGTTGGGCGCGACATCCTAAGATGGGAATTTCCTAACATAGGCACCCCATCAACCGCAAGACGCCACCAAATCTCTTTTTGTTCATTTTCC